CCCCAACTCTGGAACTCACTTCCTAAGGACATCAGGCAGGCCCCAACTCTGGCAGTCTTTAGGAGGAGCTTGAAGACTGTTCCAGTGTGCCTTCCCAGAATAATGATCCCATAGCATTTTGTCCTCCAAAGCATTTCACATTTTTAGGTCTGCTCGTATGTTTTCCACAAACGCCCCATCACTTTTTCGCCCATGTTCCAGCATTACTTCCAATGTTAATTTTACATTTGGCCTTCCCATAGTTTTTAATTGTCTGGTCTTATTGTTGATGTTGCATTATTGTATTGTCCATATTTTATTTTAATTGCTGTGTTGTTGTTATTATTGCTTGTATTGTTGTATTTGGGCTCGGCCTCATGTAAGCCGCACCGAGTCCCTTGGGGAGATGGTAGCGGGGTACAAATAAAATGTTGTTGTTGTTGTTGTTGTTGTTGTTGTTGCACTGAATGACCTAGGTTTTTCCTAGGACACAACTGTGCTGAACACTTGGCATGAAGGGCATCCAATTCAGCTCCATAGTGGAAAAGCTATGAATGGAGGTGACCCAGTTTAATGTGGGGCAAAGCTGCATAATGTGGCTTTAACCCACGTTAAACAAAGTTACAGGTTGCTTTGAATTCTTTTGCAGAGTTCAGAGCTGCCTGCAACTATGGGCCCTTGTAAATAATTGGGCCAGTTCCAAAATGGAACTGGTCACACCAGCTTATGGCTATTCTGTTGTTGGTGGCCCTGGCAGCAAAGGGACAGAGGTAAGCACTAACTGAACCTTCCTGTTCTTTTTGTGGTGATCTCTGGGTACAACATAGGCCCTGCCAGTTGTTCATCACTTGGAGGGAAGTCGGTGTTGCAACTCAGCTGCCTACATGATCTGCTTTTTACCCAAACACCACACAGGTGAGCAATAAGTTTATTAAGAAAAGGGTATCTAATATTAAAACGATTACAAAATACATCAATGAGCTAGATTTTCAGAAGCTTAATGAAAAACAAGGACATACTCTGTATAGGATAACCAAAAATCACTTAAGGCAAAAGCTAGAAACTATAGTCCAAGTGTTGTTGCACTTAAACTAGAATTATCTCCAAAGAGTTGAAAGAATGAACATGACTATAATCCAAAGGCTTGATTCTTGAATTTGACTATAATCCCAAAGCTTGAATCATAGAATCAAAGAGTTGGAAGAGACCTCATGGGCCATCCAGTCCAACCCGCTGCCAAGAAGCAGGAATATTGCATTCAAATCACCCCTGACAGATGGCTGTCCAGCCTCTGTTTAAAAGCTTCCAAAGAAGGAGCCTCCACCACACTCCGGGGCAGAGAGTTCCACTGCTGAACGACTCTCACAGTCAGGAAGTTCTTCCTCATGTTCAGAAGGAATCTCCTCTCTTGTAGTTTGAAGTCATTCTTCTGCGTCCTAGTCTCCAGGGAAGCAGAAAACAAGCTTGCTCCCTCCTCCCTGTGACTTCCTCTCACATATTTATACATGGCTATCATATCTCCTCTCAGCCTTCTCTTCTTCTGGCTAAACATGCCCAGCTACTTAAGCTGCTCCTCATAGGGCTTGTTCTCCAAAATTTGAAACAAGATTTATAATCCAAACAGAAGACCTGGAACTTAAGCAGAAAAACCAGATACAGATCTAAGAACAGAATTCCTAACTTGGAGCTCCAGAGACAGGCAACTTGACACATGAAAATCCAACACTGACCTCCCCACCGAAAATTGACTCCAATTCCTTAAGAATACTCCTTCTTGCCCATGACATTACTATTTCTCACACATGCATTCCCTTTGTTTATATTTCAGTTTATGGGAATTTGTTTCTGTTTCGCACTGTCCTTTCAGATTTGTAAACACTGGGTTTCCTGTTACCCTCCTGTCTCCTCTGCATTCCTTTCAGAATCAATCCCTGTCCAATTCTCATGAGAATCATTGCCTGTTTCCCAGACAATAGATCTACCCAAAAAATGTCCATTGTCTAAAAAAAAAATGCTTTCACCCACAGGCTTAACCAGAAAATCTTCGTCCTCATCCTCAGAGTCTTCACAGGCCTCAACAGACAGCCTGAGTCAATTGGAGAAGAGAGAAGGGAGGAGAGAGAGTAATTTCTCATTTTCTGCTACTTCCCTCATCACTCTGGTATTCTGGGCAACAACAACCCAGGTGAGAACCCATGTCATGCCCAAGATTGACACGACAAAGAAGAATGGGAGAGGATGATAACAGTGGCCATTTGTCTGTGCCAAATTAGGTTCAGCACTCCTGGGCAGTCAGGACTTCCTTCCACCTCCACGCTAGTGGAGGTGATGGTAGCTGTGTAACTACCCCGGGATCTATCCCGGGATCAATCCAGCAAACATCATATCAGATGAGCCCTGGGATATGAGTTTAGTGTAGATCTATCCCTACAGAGAGGTTCTCTCAATTAAAAGGCGTATCATTTATTCTTTGCAGTTTTTCCACATTCGCAGGGTCCTGAACCCCTAATATGAGCAAATTTGGAGCGCTACATGTCAACCCACCATTCAGTGTTTGATTTGGTGTTCCTACTTTGGTTAGAAATAACCAACAGGGCTAAGGCCATTGTTGTTGTTATGTCACGTCAAGTCAACTCTTATTTATGGCAAGGAACCCCTTGATGGATTGTTACCTTACTTTGGTGAGAGGGCTTACGTGTTCCAGTGAATATGTGGGTGAAGCTATCAGGAATCATGTACTCCCAGAAGCTGTCAGAAAGCTTAAAGAGAAGCTTAAAGAGCACAACCACCATGTCAGACTACAGAGAGAAGCCATTGAAATCCACAAGCATGTGGACAATTTCAACAGAAAGGAAGAAACCATGAAAATGAACAAAATCTGGCTACCAGTATTAAAGGACTCAAAAATCACAACAGCAAAACAACAGAGAGGAAACAAACAGGCACATAAAATCACTCTCAACAAGGGATTCCCCCGGGCACTTCCAAGCCATTGAATGCTAATCAAGGTGATCAGCTGAAACATTCACAGCTAGCCCCAGCAGACAAAAGTCCTTTGTCCCACCCTGGTCATTCCACAGATATATAAACCCATTTTTCCTACTTCCAACAGACCTCACTACATCTGAGGATGCTTGCCATAGATGCAGGCGAAACGTCAGGAGAAAAATTGCCTCCAGAACATGGCCATATAGCCTGGAAAAACCTACACAACCCAGTGATCCCGGCCATGAAAGCCTTCGACAATACATTAAAGAGAAGAGTTCCACAGTTCAAGATTTTGTGGTATGTCTCATAATACCAAGCCGAATCTTCTCAACAGCCTTTTGCCTTTGCAAGAATCAGAACGTTTGTGAATCACACCAGTTTCTTTGGAAACATCTGTAGCCTGCCGTGGAGTGTGAAAGACTCCTTACACCAGTTCTGATGAAGAAAACTAGCAGAAGCATGGCAGAATGTTTTGACAAGCTTACTACATACCACCTTGGCCCCATAACTGGAATTAATTAAGCCTCCTTGCTGTTTGTAGCCGATAAATTCTAATAAACATGAAGAAAATGTTCGGCTCAGCCTTATCATGCCAGAGGAATTAAAACACAGTGTCATGTTGAAATCCAGATGGTTTCTCATTGTGCCGTTTACGTCGGAGTGGGATATGACAGGGAGGCAGTATATCAAATGAGCAACAGAGACAGAGAAAAGCAGGGCTCCCCTTTTGATTATGGATATTCATTCGCACAGCCAAGCCAGGGTGCCTTGACTTGGAACTTCGAATTCCTTTTCTGAGCTCTCTCCTCTCTCGACATCCTCAGCCTCTTTTCCCAATGGTGGCTTGTTTTTGTTTTCAGAGTTTAGGCATGTCACTAGCATCTTGGTGCAATATTTATGAGCTCCTGCTTTAAATGGGGCCTTAATTGGTTTAGTCTCTGCACTTGTAAGACAAGAACCTCATAACCAGAAGTCAAGTAAGCAAAAAAAGGCAAAGACAAGGCATGGCCTGCCTGTCGACTCCTCAACAGAAACAGAAACATTAATGCATTGCAGCACTATCTAGATGCATAATGCTAGGATCCCCTCGCTCCAATGCTCTCATCGCAGCAGACTATGCACTGGCCCCACAGAAGATCACTGTGTGGGGGGAAAGCAAATCAAGAAGTATAAATTATCATCTAATCTCTCTCTCTCTCTCTCTCTCTTTGAGGCTGTGTTGCACATATTCTGTGATTGAAATATGAGTGATGATGACTTCATTCTCAGTCACTGTAGACCAGTGATAGGCAAATTGTGACCTATTGACCACTGAAATAGGAAGAAAATTGCTAAAATATCCAGGAATTATGTCAATATCCCATAGAGGAATGTACACATATGCAAATCATAAACAGGATATCCATCATTGTTGGACTTCAACTTTAGAAGTCCAAAACATGACCTCAAAACATGAAAAGCTGAAAACCATCCAAGTACATCATCCTGAGCTGAAGGGATCCATAAGCTGATATGGTATAAGGCGGTTTAGTGCTTTTCTATTTAAATAAACCATAGACTCATAGAGGTGGAAGAGATCACATGGGCTATCCAGTCCAACTCCCTGCTATGCAGGAAAAGCACAATGAAAGTTTCCCTGAAAGATGGCCACCCAACCTCAGTTTAAAAGCTTCATAAGAAAGATCTTCCACCACACTCCAAGGCAGAGAGATACACTGTTGAACAGCTCTTACTATTTTTGACTGTTCAGTATGTGAGGTAGGAGATCTTGGAGTCTTAGAAGATCATAAACTGAATATGAGCCAGCAATGTGATTCGGTGTCTAAAAAAGCCAATGTAATTATCTAGGTTCAATCAATAAGAGTCCGTAGCTTGGGGGTCCTCCTCAATTTAACGCTGTTGTTTAATGTTCAGATGCTGGCAGTAGCCGGGAGGGCCTTTGCACAACTCAAACTTGTGCGCCAGCTGCAACTATACCTTGTAAAGTCTGATTTGGCCAGGATGGTCGACACCTTGGTTACATCTAGATTGGACTATTGCAATGCGCTCTCTGGAGGTTTCCCTTCTTGTCTTGTTTTGGAAACAGTCGCTGGAGGTGTAGCTTCATTTGGCCTATATGAAGATTCTTCAACTCGCAATGTTTTGAAATGATCCTCTATTCCAACTGATGTGTCAAGTGGTGGCTGATATTCCACCTTCTTTGAATATGTGTTGAGTGACGATGGGAGGTCTACCTTGTCTGAACAACGAGGGGTCAGACTGTCTCTCTTTGATGTTGAACTTAAGGAACTTTTTTTCTGCACCAAAATATTCTGAACTTCGTGGACAGCAGCCATGATGTGCCCTTGATAGCAGGAAGATACAGCCTCCATCTCTTCCCTGCAATCTCTGAAGGATGGCCTTTGGACTTTGTCATTGTGCCAGCACCGTTTCATAAGTTTGACCACATCTTGTACTTTCAGCACATCAACGATCTTCTCCAGCTTCTCTGTACTTGGCCTCTCGCTCCGGGGAATGTGTAATTTGATAAGAGAACGCAAGGCATCAGGGAGATTTGAATAAGGCTCCTCGCCTGATAACAAGGACCATGTGACGATCCCATAGCTGTAGACATCTGTGCCAGGGGTCGGCTTGTAGGGGTCAGCAAAGGCCTCGGGTGGCAAGTACTCCAGTGTCCCACCATACTCTTCTTCTTCCACGGAGGCTTGACTGCCACTCCGAATTGTCCCACGTTTGAACTTAGAGAGTCCAAAATCAGCCACCTTGGCATCCAAAACTGCATCGAGCAAGATGTTGCCCAATTTGAGGTCGAGATGTAACAACGGAGGGCTGAGGTTGTGTAGGTAATTCATCCCCAGAGCCACATGAAAGAGGATGCGAAACCGAAGGGCCCAAGGAATAAAGTTGACCTGGCTCATCAGGTCAGATAGGCTGCCGTTTTCCATGTACTCCATCACAAGGCCCACACTGGGACTGTCCAGCTGCAGTTTGTCTACATGGTGCTGCCCTTGAAGACAGCCCAGAAATTACAACTGGTCCAATGGGTCAGCTCCTCTATACCTTGTAAAGTCTGATTTGGCCAGGATGGTCGACACCTTGGTTACATCTAGATTGGACTATTGCAATGCGCTCTACATGGTGCTGCCCTTGAAGACAGCCCAGAAATTACAACTGCTCCAATGGGTGAGCTCCTTACTGGAGCAAACTGTAGGGAGCATACAACACCCCTATTAAAGCAACTTCATTGGCTGCCGATAAGTTGCCGAGCCAAATTCAAGGAACAGTAATGACTTATAAAGCCCTAAACAGTTCGGGCCCCACCTATCTTCGCAATTGCATCTCCATCTATGAACCAGCATGAACTCTAAGATCCTCTGGGGAGGCCCTCCTCTTGCTCCCACCTCCGTCACAAACACGGTTGGTGGGGATGAGAGAGAGGGCCTTCTTGGTGGTGGCCCCCCACCTCTGGAATGCCCTTCCAAGGGAAATAAGACAGGCCCTAACCCTCCCCTTTTTTTGTAAGCATTTGAAGACTTGGTGGTTTCAACAAATCTTTGAGAGTGACCAGTGCCAGCTCAGCCCAGACACAATCTAGCCCCCTATTTATTACCCTGGTCATTCTTCCAACAGGCCCCTGGAAATAGCCTGCCCCCACTTTTGTCATTTACCTATTACAATACTGTACAATACTTTTTCTTTTAATATTTATGTGTTGTTGAGTAATTCCATGCTTATGTTGCTGTTACTGTTATTTTTTTGTTCATGTTGAGACTGTATGTTTTGAAGTTGTTGCTGAGATGAGATATGATAGCCATGTCTAAATATGTGAGCGGAAGTCACAGGGAGGAGGGAGCAAGCTTGTTTTCTGCTTCCTTAGAGACTAGGATGCAATGGAACAATGGCTTCAAACTACAAGAGAGGAGATTCCATCTGAACATGAGGAAGAACTTCCTGACTGTGAGAGCCGTTCAGCAGTGGAACTCTCTGCCCCGGAGTGTGGTGGAGGCTCCTTCTTTGGAAGCTTTTAAACCGAGGCTGGATGGCCATCTGTCAGGGGTGATTTGAATGCAATATTCCTGCTTCTTGGCAGGGGGTTGGACTGGATGGCCCATGAGGTCTCTTCCAACTCTTTGATTCTATGATTTGATGATGATGATGATGATGATGATAGTGATGATGATGATGATTATTATGTCTAGATTGAGGGAAATAACAGTCCTCCTCTATTCTGCTTTCTTCTGAGCTCATCTGGATTACCGTGTCCAGTTCTTGGCACCACAGTTCAGGAAATATATTAAATGGTACCATACTGCAATTCCCTTGAAATCAATATTTAATAGTACTGTTCCATTATCTAGGCGAAGGCCACTAGTAGGTGCTAGAAAGAGAAAGGATAGCCCATTTTGCAATGGAGGGAGTTGAAGGAGGAAAACATTTTTTCCAATTTTTGCTAGTTATTCCCCCTCCCCACTTCCTATATCACAAAGGGTTGTTTCCACGATGGGGAGGAATAACAGGAAAACAGGGAATATGGTTTTATGCTTTTAGCCCATAAAATGATCTATCCTTTTCTCTCTATCTCCCTCTAGTGGCCTCCGCCCAGATAAAGGAACAGTAGCAATTTAACAACCAGTTTACAAGCTCTTTAAAATGCTGCGGCATGCCAAGGGAGATCCATTTGGAGGGTGGCTTTCTTCCAATTTGCTCTCTCATTCCCACCCTTCAGTCTTTCCTGCCAACAGGTTACACAGCTGCAAGATCTGACTATCGCCCCCAAGTTCATGCATGGAAACAGAGAAAGTAGGAAATGATAGCTTGTCAGTTCCTTTTTATAAAGAGAGAAAATAAAGGTGCCATTGCTGTGCCAAGAAAGCCTTCAACGGCATCCAGAATAATACCTACATATACTGTAATGATTCCATTTAAACTGTCATTTTCTGCATTTACCTCCCCGCATTCAAACACAACTGCACTTAATGGGCTTTTTCTAAAAAAAGAAGGGCTGGCACTAGTTTGTTACCCACAGGAGCTTGTGTGTGTGTGTCTTTGTGTGGCAGAGAGACCAAGCAAGAGAGAGAGAGAGAGAGAGGCAGGGAGGAAGAAAAGAGTAATGTTGTATGGTGCATTTCAAAAGAATATACTTCATAAGGGAAAATTAGCAGTAATCTTGAGGTTGCTGCTGCTGGAAGGAGAGAGAGGGGAAATTACTAAAACTTACAGTGCTGGTACATACCTTTCTTTTCAATATAAAAATGCAAATAAACAGATTCAGAAAGTCAAATCTTTACTTGAGATTAAAGAGAAGTTGGAGTTCATGGACTCATTTGTCTGGGATCCAAATGGTCAACCCTTGGATCCCATGAGGTCTCTTCCAAAGAGTTGGAAGAGACCTCATGGGCCATCCAGTCCAACCCCATTCTGCCAAGAAGCAGGAATATTGCATTCAAATCACCCCTGACAGATGGCCATCCAGCCTCTGTTTAAAAGCCTCCAAAGAATGAGCCCCCACCACACTCCAGGGCAGAGAGTTCCACCGCTGAACGGCTCTCACAGTCAGGAAGTTCTTCCTCATGTTCAGATGGCCCATGGAATCAAGTGATTAAGTTAACTCATGGGCAAATCCTATTCAGTTCGTCTGTTGGGATTACTAAAAAGAGATTGCTGAATTGGGATTAAAGTAGTGAGTGTGCAAAATTATTACAAAGTAGTGATTGTGAAAAGAAAATTGTTATGTTTAGGTGACTGGAATCCAGGATCATGAATTAGAATCAAAGAATCATAGAGTTGGAAAAACCTTGTAAGCCATCCAATCCAACCCCTTCCAAGAAGCAGGAAAATTGCATGCAAAGCACCCCTGACTGATGGCCATCTAACCTCTGTTTAAAAGCCTCCAAAGAAGGAGCCTCCACTACACTCCAGGGCAGAGAGTTCCACTGCTAAACAGATCTCACAATTAGGAAATTCTTCTTAATGTTCAGCTAGAATCGCCTTTCCTGTAGTTTGAAGCCATTATTCTGCATCCTAGTCTTCAGGGCCGCAGAAAATAAGCTTGCTCCCCCCTCCCCATGACTTCCCCTCACATATTTATACATGTCCCTCATCATGTCCCCTCTTAGCCTTCTCTTATTCAGGTTAAACATGCCCATGGTGTCAATTTGCCCAGTGGTTTTTGAGTTGTTACTCCCACAAACAAACATTACATTTTTATTTATATAGATATATGAGAAAAGATGCATCTACGTACAGAGGATTTCAAACCATTTTGAAGCAGGAAGATACCTCATCTTGAATTGATGTAGATACAATGTTTAACTAGAGAGCCCTAGTTAGAGGTGCAGTCCAGGAAGGGATATTTTAAATATGTCTTGAGAAGATATATTTCCTACATAAGGTATGGGAAGTTGGTTAGGAAGGTTAAAGGAGAGCGGGAGCAGGAAGTGAGAATAGAAATAGTGTCATTTCATTGTATTTTATTCAGAGCAAAAGATGAAACATTGGTAATGCAATTATAAAGATATATGCAATTGCTGGACTGGCCACGTTGTCTGAATGCCCAATCAATGTCTTCTAAAGCAGTTGCTATACTTCCAACTCAAGAATGGGAAATGTAATGTTGGTGGACAGGAAAAGAGATTTAAAGTTGGGCTTAAAGCCAACCTTAAAAACTGCGGAACTGGGAAGCCCTGGCCCTTGAGCGCTCTAACTGGAGGTCAGCTGTGACCAGCAGTGCTGTAGAATTTGAAGAGGCACAAATGAAGGGTGAAAGGGAGAAATGTGCCAAGAGGAAGGTGCATTAAGCCAACCCTGGATGGAACCGCTTTCCACCTGGAAACCCGTGTCCTCACTGCGGGAGAACATGCGGATCAAGAATAGGGCTCCACAGCCAACTACAGACACTACACTTGGAGGACCATCATCCTCAGGCTATGAGGGATCACCTAAGTAATACATTTAAGTAATACACACACATACACACACAAAAGAAGTTGGTGTCTTTGGCTACCTCTGTGCTCTTTGCAGGCTGATTTTCCCCAAGTTCAATCTTTCGTTATTACGAAGGTCCCTGAAACACACCCACTCAACTGAAAAGTGATCCCTATTTACATTCTCTCAGGATATCAATTGCATCTCTACTACCTTGGAGTGCGTATAGGATATAGGCTAAGACATAAGAGTATTCAGTATCAAAAGCCAGAGCTCTTTAATCTAGTCCTCTGGACCACGGCTGTACGTGCCTCCCCTCCCCACCCCACCCCCAAATCCAGTCCTGCATCCCATCTCCAAGGTTTCACCTTAATCTTCTTATCAGCCCACTTCAATTTTGAGCTACAACTGATCGTCCATCCCGTTCACCCTTGAGAAGTTCACAAAATTAGTTTCCTTTATTGCTTCATTGTTTCTTTCTTTGCAAATAAGATTGTGGTCTCTTTATCCCTTCCCCTGCCCCCCTTACACATAACTTCTCATAACTGCAAGGCTGGCAAAAAATCTTTGCTTTCTTAATTTCTAGCTGCCACCTAGCTCTTCGTTCGACGACAGGCCACAGAGGAGGACTTGCTTTGTGAGTCAGAAATCAGAATCACAATTGCTGTGTGCACCTTCAAGTCATTTCCTACTTATGGAGAGGTTTCTTGGTAAGATCTTTTGGTAGGGGGGTTCACTTTTGCATTCCTCTGAGACGGATAGTGTATGACTTGTCTAAGTTAACCCCTTGGGTGTCATTGTCTGAGTGTTAGTCCTAGTTCAACACTCAAATGACTATATGGCACTGGCTCTCCATATCGCAATTACATATCCACAAGTTGTATATAGCAGCATGGGGCAATTGTAACTGATGGACACTCTGGTCTTCAAATGACCTGTTCAATGGAAAGTATAATTGGCCCTTACATCCATGAATTCTATGGGTTTCACCATCCAAGACTTGAAAATGCTTTTAAAAACATACCTTGGCTTTTACCATTTTATAAAGGGGACTCCATTTTAACTTTACCTTTTTATA